CCAGCATAGTTGACAAAGGCCCTGGTCACACATGTCGGATAACGTGGGGGGGGAGGTGTGGCTTTTCGCGCCGGTGCAATTTAACGCGACAGAACGCAATCAGATGCCACCGCGGCAAATCGGGGTTTTGTTTGTCAGCACGTGTTTTCGGCGAGCGTCAACACGGCGAGAGGAGCGCGCTTGAGCGATCACATGTAGGTATTCCATCGACAGCCCGTAGCAAACCGTTCGCTAGTAGGCTTTCCCGGGTATTTTTTTACTTCGAATCTTCGGGCGGATGCGACGGGTCGGCGATGGGTGTGCTACGCTTGCCAGATACCGCCCCCGTATCCCCCGCCCGACTTTAATGCCTCTCCCGCCGCAAATTCTGCGTGTGAACAGGGCCAAAAGTATCCTTCTTTTACGACCTGGGTAGGAGTTAATAATAAGCTTAATCAAAACTTCCCTAATGCTATGATAGTAGGTATTCCGTCGACAGCCCATAGCAAACCGTTCGCTAGTAGGCTTTCCCGGGTATTTTTTTACTCTGGATCTTCAGGCGGATGCTTCGGGTTAGCAATGGGTGTGCTATGTTTGCCAGATGTGTCCTTGTGATTGTGCCCGTATATGCCGCCCAACATTTGTGCCTCTCCCGCCACAAATTCTGCGTGCGAACAGGGCCAAAAGTATCCTTCTGTTACGACCTGGGTAGGAGTTAACAATAGGCTTAATCAAAACTTCCCTAATGTTATGATATATACTACCATCAAAAAATTACATGTTCCAGTGTTTCATCAGTTCCCATCCCACATATACAACTTTTCCTCAGTGATCTAGTAAATCTGGCCTTTCATTGAGCTATCCACTACGACCCCAAGATCTTTTCCCCTCAAAGGCTCAGCAAGTTCAGACCCCATTAGCCTATACTTGAAATTGGGATTTATTTATTTTTTTGGTCCCAATGTACTTTGCCTTACATTTACCAACACAGAACTTTATTTGCAACATTGTCGCCCACTCACCCAGTCTGTGGAGGTCCTCTTGGAGCCCCTCACAGTCACGCTTGGTTTTCACCATCCGGAATAATTTTTGTGTAATAACAGTGTAGTATATTAACACTCATTAGCTGCTGTAGATTTTCCGGGCTGTGTGGCCGTGGTCTTGGCATTGTAGGTCCTGACGTTTCACCCAGTAACTGTCACTGGCATCCTCAGAGTTATAACACAGAAAGATGGAGTACTCTCTGTGTCAATGTGAGAAGAAAATGGTAGGCAGGAATTTATATCTACTACTTATTTATAGCTACTGCAGGGATCGTATTCGGTCCATTTCGTGGTCATTTATTTTGCGGTTGCCTATTGCTTTCCCAGTCCAGTTCAAGATGCCGGTGCTTAACTTCCACTGCTCCACAATAGGGGGCTCTTCCACCTTCTCAGTTTTGTCACTTGTTTATCCCTATTGCTTTGGGTCATCGTTCCCATTTCCACATGTGGTTTGCTCCCCCTGGGACTACTAGAAAGAGCAAAACACATTTTTGGGGGGGTGGAACCTTGAAGCAATAGGGACACAAGAGTGATGAAAATCAGAATGCGGAAGAGTCCAGCATTGCTAGTAGGAGGGTTGGGGCCTGAGAAGCAAGGACACGGGGGGAGCATGTGACATTGGTGACATCACTTCTGGGTACAACTCAGAGGCGGCAACGGGTAGCTCTAGGAATCGCCAGAAAAATCCCTAGGGTTTCCAGTGATTCCTACAGGTATTCATTGTCACTTTCAGGTTGTACCTGCAAGGAACAAACTGGCACTGAGGCTGGTAGAGGAGCAACAATCGGCGGGAGGCTTCCCATCGCAGGACGAGGCCTGGAAGGCTTACTGCATAACCTGGAGTCAACACACCTAAAGGACCTGCAACGGACCCACGCCAACAGCTTCGGTCACCACAGCAATGCCCTTTGGACATTCCAGCTCCCACAAGGTTATGCCGGGCTGCCACCACCACCCCCTTCAGGCTTTTTTGGTGGCCACTCCGTTGTTGTGAAATAGTCTGTTGTGAGAAAAATAAAATAGTTGGTTCAGAAAATTTTAAGACCTATTTATACAGTTAAATTTTATAAAGAAATCATAGTGTTTTTCTCCTCTATTTCTGTAACTTTCCAAACAGCTAGCAGCACATGACTCCCAACATGATTTTGCTAGGCCTTTGTCTCAAGAGATTATCTTTCCTCCATCATGCACAGGAACTAACACTTGCATTACATTGTTCATGAACCTAAAGAATTTGGAAACATTTAGGTATAAAAGATTGGTATGCCCCTGCCATTAAGTCAAGGAAGCCAGAGTGTTTGCAATAATAAAGGCTTGCCTGCATGCAGAAACCCACTACACACCTCCAGCCAACAGACAGTGCCTGGCTGTTCAAGGGAACAAAGAACATCCTGAAATTGTAACATTCTTGTCTTTGTCATTTACAGATTTGAATGCTATCTTGCATTGTTTTGCAAAGGAGCATCAGGATGCCCCATTGCCTCTGGAATGTGTGAACATCTCCTAAGCCCTGATGGCCCATGTTAACAGGGCAGTTAGATTAATTGACGCAGTTTATGATTTCTATGGCTCTATTGAAATGTATGGAACCAATATGGTATAAAAGGAGAGCAGAGGCTTCATTTCAGGACTGACTCTCAGAGATCCAGAGACGAAGGCTTTGCCTATCGTGATCTCTCGGGGCCAGTCCAGAGCCTTCTGCTGCATGGGGAAATCTTTGTTCTATATATATATAACCACTGACTGTCTTTCTTTTTTTCTTTGAAGTAAGTATTCTGTTTTGTATTTCTTGCATGTCTTTAGCTAATAAACTATTTATTGTTTAAATAACCTTGGCTGCGGTCACACGGAACAGAAGCCACACAAGTGAGACGGAAAACAGGCGGAGTTCCCGGGCGCGATCTCACCAGCACATCTGGGAAGCGTAGCACTCCCGTGGCACAACCGAGGCTTCCAGCCGAAACTACGTGGCAAAAAACTAGTACCTCGGAGGTACTAGTTTCCAGAAACTGCGGGGCAAGGGCGGGTGTTTGATCACGTTTCCGGTGGCATCCGGCGCCAGCCCACGTCCCCTTGCAAATAAGGTTGTTTTTTTTGTCCACGTCTCTGTGGATGCGCACACGCACCCAACGGAGCATGCGCATTCGTCGTGTACACACACACACAAAAACAGTTTGCCGCGGCGCGCGCTTCTTCGTTGCGCGCCGGCTTGTCCTGTGATCAGCACCTCTCCCTTGCCATGGGAGGTCTGATCGAGTAACTGCGCAGTAGTTTGCCCCAGGGCAAACAGCCACACTTCTCCCCCGCAGTTTCCTGCCCGTGTGACCGTGTGACCGGGGCCCTTGTGTTGCATTCCAGCTAACTTTCTTTTAACATTCTACCCGCTTTGGTAAGGGGCACTCACCAGACCAGTACGAATCTAGAGGTACAGGTAACACTATACAGGGTTAGTTTAGACAAGTGCTACAGGTGCATTCGTACGACATAGTCAAATGGAAGAAAGTAAAAGATCGTCTCTTCTGCATTTTCAGAAGGACTGCAAAAACAGATTTATTTGTTTTTTTTAAAAAAGAGCCGCTGCTCTAGACGATCGCTTTGTCACCGGATCTCCTCAAAGCACGGTGGTCTCTTGTCAGACTCGAGGTCTGCCGACCTCCAAGTGGAGACTGGTGGTCCCCCCCCGAATTACAAGTGATCTCCAGAAGACAGAGATCAGTTCCCCTGATTAAAATGGCAGCTTTGGACCTGGGACTCTATAGCATTATACCCCACTGAGGTCCCTCTTCTCCCCAGACCCTGTCTTCCTCAGGCTCCAACCCCTAAATATCCAGGGATCTCCCAACCCAGCATTGGCAACCCTATCAGACTCCACTTTTAAGTCATTGCCAGCTGTTTTAATCTCCTCGTTCTGAAAATATGCCACGTTGTGCTGGTCTAGGGCTGCCAAGTGGGGGCGGGGGATGGGTAAACCCCCGCTTTGGAACCCTGCCCCGCCGAAGCGCAGCGAGGGTGCGTCACAGGAAGTGACGCAACCACGTAGAGAACATTGGGGGCGTGGCGCAATCATTGGAGGGAAAACTCTATGCTTTTCCCTCCAACGATTGGGGCCATGCCCCCAATGTGCTCTACGTCGTGTGTCACTTTCTGTGACGTTCTGGCAGCACACATCCCTCGGCAGCTCCCGAACCGAAGCAACGCTCCCCCACCGGTGAGTCAGAACGATTTGGCAACCCTATGCTGGTCTTACTGTTGTCCTCTGCTTTGGGTCCCTGCTTCCTGAGAGAAAGGCAGGTCTACAGATGTTTTGAATAAAAAATAAAGAAGAAGAGGAGATTGGATTTATACCCCACCCTTCACTACCCAAAGGAGAGCAGCTTATTATCTCCTTCCCTCCCCCTCCCCACAACAGACACCCTGTGAGGCAGGTGGGGCCGGGAGAGATCTCTCAAGAACAGCTCCTGAGAGAACAGCTCTGACAGAACTTGTGACTGACCCAAGGTGAAGTGTAGTGGGTTAGACGCATGGAGAAACCACTGATACCGATGTAGTGATCAGCATGGTTTACTGGTACACAACCAAGACAAAGACAAACGGCCGGCTGGCCAACTATATACACACCTGGGGACACACCCCTAGGTCCCGTTGGTGGGTTTAAATCTCCCGCCACGGTCCCATTGGTCCCCCAGTGGAGAGACAAGGAGCCTAGACCCCATTGTTCCTCCAGAGTCAAGCTCTGGAGTGTTCGCTGGCCCCTGGTGGCGGTCAGCGGACACAACACAAGGTCACGCCAGCAGCTGCATGTGGAGGAGTGGGGGATCAAACCCGGTTCTCCCAGGTCAGAGTCCGCACTCCTGACCCACTACACCAAACATCAATCCCGGTACGTAGATTATGAGTTTGTATATTGTGTGTTCAGTAAACTGGGAAGGTATAATATTCACAATAGTCCAGAAGAGACTGTCAATATTGTATTGAGGCTTTATTTTTTAGTGGTTTTGCACTAAGTTATCATATAGGTAGAAAAACAGGTAGAAAAAGTCGGGTCAGGATTATTTCATCTCCCCCCTACAAAACGATGAAAGCACCAGAAGCAAAGGAGACAAGGGGAAAGGTCCTTTCTTTCTACGCATCGAGACTGAATTTGTTGTGATCTTCCTTGCGATCAGGACTGTTTCTTTGCGCCTCCTCTTCTACGGGGATCTAGAAGGAAACGCAAACAAGAAAGGTACTTGAGTCCACGCCTTTTCGTTGGTATTCCTTCCCACCATACTTAGGTTTATATCGGGGGTGGCCAAACCTGCTTAACGTTAAGAGCCACATAGAAGAAACACCAGATGTCCGAGAGCCGCAAGACATGGACAAATATTATACGCAGGGCTCTTTTTGTAGCAGGAACTCCTTTGCATATTAGGCCACACACCCCTGATGTAGCCAATCCTCCAAGAGCTTACAGTAGCCCCTGTAAGAAGAGCTCTGTAAGCTCTTGGAGGATTGGCTACATTGGGGGGGGGTGTCGCCTAATATGCAAAGGAGTTCCTGCTACAAGAAGAGCCTGACACACCCCTAATGTAGCCCATCCTCCAAGAGCTGACAGTAGCCCCCTGTAAGAAGAGCTCTGTAAGCTCTTGGAGGATTGGCTACATTAGGGGCGTGTCGCCTGATATGCAGAGGAGTTCCTGCTACAAGAAGAGCCCTGAATACGCACGTTTTAATTGGAAGATATGCAAATTTGCTTTTTTATTAACATTACATAAGACCGCCAGAAATAAAAAACAAAAGGGGTAAAAACAGATATTGATCATGATATTTAAAGAGACAAATGCCTTCTTCAAGCCGGCCAGGGTGGGGGGTTTGAGAACGCATTTAAAGTTGCTTTCTTTCTCTGTTCCCGCTCCCCCAAGCCTACCCAGGAAGGGGAACACTGGCTAGGGAAGGGAAGACCAAATGGGGAGGCATGCCTTCCCTTCACTTCCCCAGCCGCCCTGCCGGGAGCCGCACAATATGTGTGAAAGAGCCGCATGTGGCTCCTGAGCCGCAGTTTGGCCACCCCTGGTTTACATGACCTTTCCCCCTCTCTTAGGCAATGCATTTAATCGGTAACAGAATAAAACAAAGCTGCTTTCTGATCCGAGTCAGACTTTCTGGGTTTTTGTCTCTGCCAGTTAGGACAAATCTAATGCTTAAGCTATATGTCCAAGGTTGCCAACCTCCAGGTTTCACCTGGCGACCCCCCCTCCCATTACAACCGATCTTTGGACAACCAAGATCAGTTCCCCTAGAGAAAAATGGCTGCTTTGGAGGGTGGACTCAAGGGCACTGTACCATGCTGAGGCCCCTCCCTCCCCAAGCCCCACCCTCCCCAGGCTCCACCCCCCAAATCCCAAGGTATTCCCCAACTCAGAGCTGGCAACCCTATTAGAGATGGGCATGAACCGGGAAAATGCGGTTCGGTTTGTGGTTTGTGTCATGCTCAGCTGGCGAACCATGACCAGTCACGAACTTTTAGACACTACACAAACCGGTTCAGTTTGTGATGTGGCAGAATTGCCCCCCCTCCTTTTGGAGATACCAAACTCACAGGGGATCTCCAGCTGACTCTCCTCTACCTGCCCTCCAAGTTTGGTAACGATTGGGTTTACAGGTTCTGAGTTATGCCCCCTCCAAAGAAGGTGCCCCCAGGAAAGTGCTTTCTGGGGAAATGACAGGTGCAGTTTCAGGAGTGTACAGAATGAATCCTGTGCAAGCTAGAGACCTCAAACTCACAGGAGACATCTGGCCCACTCTCTGCTACCTGTGTTCCAAGTTTGGTTATGACTGGATTTATGAGTTCCAAGTTACAGCCCCCGCAAAGAAGGTGCCCCCATCGTCTATTGTTTCCAATGGAGGGGGGAAAGCAAAAAAAAAAAAAGCAAGGGCAATAGAATCCCAGCAGAACAGAATCAAAGTCCCTGAGATTGTCTGCAGTAGAAACTGAAGGTGATGGGGGGGGGGGCATTTTTGCAAGCCCAGCAGAAACAGTGGAATGTGCCCAGCAGAACCAGTGCCAGTGGGGCAGTGCAAACCCAACAGGGCTAGGATCAAGCCAGGAAAGTGCTTTTGGGGGAAATATCAGGTGCAGGTTCACAAGTAGATAGAATGAACCCCCTGCATGCTGCAGACACCAAATGTAAAGGGAACCTAACCCTGCTCCCTGCCCCTCTACAATCTCTCCAAGTTGGGGGCTGATTATATTTCTGGGGTCCCAGTTACAGACACCCCCCCCAAAAAAGGTCTTCCATGTTTATACCCTCCCACCCCTCCTGAGTGTGAACATGAGGGTGAAAGTGGGTGCAAAGGGTGCTTGTCATGGGGGGGAAGAAGTCCTCAACCCCTGCATCCTGCAGACTCCCATCCCTGGGTATCAAACAGAGAACTGTGGCTGGCCCAAAGTCACCCAGCCGGCTGCATGTGGAGAAGTGGGGAATCAAATCCAGTTCTCCAGATTAGAGTCCATCGCTCTTAACCACTGCACCAAACAATGTGTACTTGTAGGATCAGAGAGAGAAGAAGAAGGTGCTGTGTGGTGCTGGGGAAAAAAGGACAGCTAACAGAGAATGGGCTTAAAAGAAGACACAAGGTAAAACTGCAGTTCCCTCTACCCCCTCGTCCTTTCCTTGGCTCATACAGCAATTCAGCCAACTTCAATCGGATATGTATAAAAGTAGCTTTCGGAGTGATTTGATTTAAATGCTAATTCTCAGTTTTGGGACCCCTGGGCCACAGGAGCCAGACTGGTGCTCGCTAAGCTGACCATTCTGAAAGGTGCAGTTCTGGGGGGGGGGGCTCTTATGAACTAGACCCATCTGTAAAGGAAGTGGAAGCCATCTTGATTGCCCCAGAAGGATCAGAAACTGAAAGCGGTACTGGCCACCTTTCTAACCCTGCCATCTAGTGTTCAGCACGCAACATTGCACGGTGCTATAAGTCCCAGGGTAGCACGAAAGGAAAGAAAGCTCCATAGGCCATCTAGTGTTCAGCACGCAACATTGCAAGGTGCTATAAGCCCCAGGGTAGCACAAAAGGAAAGCTCCATGTCTGTATCCTACCTCCCAATACACCGAGTCGTCGTAACAGTTCTGGTCAGAGGGCTGTCCCAAGAAAGGCAAACTCAGAATCAGTCCTGCATCATGGGAGAGAAATACAGCAGTGGACTGTAAGTGAACAATCCTTTCTAACAGATTCTCTTCATAAATAACAAGAGAGGGAGACTATCAACACTGAAATCCAAAAAGTTCTCTGAGGTGCTGCCGGGCTTGAATCTAGCTGTTATACTGGAGAAAGATTCCATCGTTTTCATCTACCTATATGCAGAGATCTAGTTCTATAAAAATTGGCCCTTACCTTTTTTGAAAACGCTACAGGGATTTCGGCAGTTCGTCTTTCATTAATAAATACATTTTTTAAAAAACTCTGAAGCCAATAAAACCAGTCACTTTTCATACACATACCTTTTTTGAAAACGCTACAGGGATTTCAGCAGCTCGTCTTTCATTCATAAACACATTTTTTTAAAAAAAAAACCTCCGAAGCCAATAAAACCAGTCATTTTCATACACAACACACACACACACATAAGCTTAAAATTAATTTATGTGGAATCTTTGTATAGTCTTATTCAATCTGGAAAAAATGGGATGTGATCTAAATACTTTTTTTGTCAAGACTGCAAGATGCCTACTTTATTTTTGATAGATATTACTCTACGAGAGTTTGTATTTTCCCATGACATTTTGTGCAGATGCCGACACATTTCTCAGGCTACTTTCACATATCGTTGGATACTGTGTTTTTTAAAATATCTATCTATCTGTCTGTCTGTCTGTCTGTCTGTCAGTCTATCAATCTATCTATCAATCTATCTATCAATCTATCAATCTATCAATCTATCAATCTATCAATCTCTAGGAAAACAAACAGTATAAAGAAAATACAGAAAAGGAAAAATCATTATATATCATAAACA